TTTTCAAAAAAAAAAATTTATATTATTTAATGATGAAAAAAGCATTGATGCTTTAAAAAAAAACTCAGCACCAAAAAAAAAAAAAAACAATTAAAATAATTTATTAACGATTAAAAACCTTAATTAGTGAATATTTTTTTAAAAGAACAATAAAAATAATCCAATAAAACGAATACTTTTTTTAATTATTTTTTAAGAATTAAATTCAGAAAAATAGTAAAACAAAATATGAAGATTTTTATTCATTTTAATTATTTTTTATTTAAAATCGTTTTTTATTAATTTTTTAATAAAGCAAATCTCAATGTAATTTTATTTTTAATAACATATCATTTTTTTATAAAATAAAATTTTTTTATTAAAATTAAATTTTTATTAAAATCTTTATAAAATTATTTAAAAAAAAAAAAAATTTTCATTGAAAAAAAACATAAACCTTTAAAATTTTTATTTGAAGAAAAAATTCAATCTTAATTATTTTTTTATCCTTCATAAATTCTTTCATTCATTTATAAAAAAGTTATGTTTTTCTGCTGCGAGAAAATTTTTATCTCGCCAATTGTTGTCAAAAGTATTGAAAAAATCGCTCAGTCGATTGTAAAAATGATTTATTTGGTATTTAATTTTTAATTTTGAAATTTGTATTGAGTTATAATTTTATAAACCAATTTTAAAAATTTTATTTTGGAAAATTAATAATAATTGACAAATCTTCATTAATGTAATGTGGATTATTATTTCCATGTCTAAAAGCAAGAGATATACGATGATAAAAATACGATTAAAAAATGAATAATAATTAACAAGACATTCTCTAAGAAATTCAAATAACTTAAGACCATGACTTCTTTTATGTGCCGTGTTCTTTCAGGACGTAGGTGATCATGGTCCCCCACATCTTCCTGTCCCTTGTTTCTCAAAATTTGGTTTTTCTTCCATCCATTTACATATGTTTAAAGAACATGATTTCCTGTGTCTAATTTTCCGATAATCTTTCTTTTATTTCATGTTTTCCAAGCCAATCGTTCCTCATTATGTTCATCAGAAATATCAATTGACCCTCCCTGATAAAAAGTTATAATTTTTCTTTTGTTTTCCATTTTCTCTAAAACCTCGTCGTTATATACAAATGTTCAGTCCATCTTTCTGTAGGACAATATTTTTTGAAACATAATTCTTTTCTTTATCTTTGAGGAGATATTTTTTAGTATTAATTTAAAATAAAATGGACATTTTTATATTTATTTTAAACATTTTTAAATATTTATTTTTAAATTGTTGTTTCGAACGAAATTTTTTTCTATTAAAAATTTGGTTAAAAAAAACAAATTAGATAAACTTAAATATATTAAAAAAAAATATATATCAGGTCATCCCATAAGTTCTGTCCGAATTTTAACTTTTTTGTTAAAATGAACGAAATTTAAAGAGTATTTTATAATGTCTAATGGAGCTGAACATTATTTTTATGTTTAGATGCATTTAAACTGATCAAATTTTATTTCAGAGAACAATAAAATTAAATTTTGTTTGATTAAAACCCTGCTAACATGGAAGTACCCAAGAATCATTTGAGGCACATAATGCTTTATGAGTTCAAGAAAGGAAACTCAGCAGCCGAAGCGGCTAGAAACATTCACTCAGTTTATGGAGAGGAATGTGTGAATGAAAGAACTTGCAGAAGATGGTTTGCAAAATTCAGAGGTGGAGATTTCACCCTTGAAGATGAAGATCGAACCGGACGTCCAGTTGAGTTTGATGAAAAGCTTCTTGAAGCAGCCCTTGAAGAAAATCCTGCTTTATCAGTTGAGGAATTGGCAGTGGTT